CCGCCGAAAACTGTGGGCTTGGGGTGGGTGGGGTTGCTGCTCAGATTGTTGGCAGGCAGCGTGAGCGAGGGAAGTGCCGGGGGGAGCAGGGTCCTCTCGGGCGCGGGGTTGGTTGTTTTGCTTTAGCCGAGCGCCGGTGCTGCTGAGAAATGAAGGCTTTTGTTATTTGCCGTGGGTTTGAGTTTCGTGTTGGTTTCAGGGTGAGCTTGTTCGGGGTGAAATTTCGCAGGCGGCGTGAATGGCAACTTTTGGCTGACTTTGGCAGAGCAGGAAGGGATGGGAGAAGAATTTCGAGGGGGTTGCACACGTTGGTCTTCATGTCAGTACGTGTGTCAGGGCAGACATCGATGATCTTTTCCACGATTAAATCAGGAGCAATATTTTTCAGCGTGCATATGTCTCCACACATGGCCTTATATAACTGACATTTTGACTGCCGGTTTAGGCCAAAATCTCAAGAGAAGCTCTGACTTCCAGGGAGTGAATATAAAAGGGGAAGGATTTACAGATGTAGCACAAAGATATCGATTCCTCCTGTAGGTGAATATGCATATTTTGGATTTCTTTGAAGGTTACACACAATCTAAAGATGAGTATTTTAAATGGCATCATTGTAAATGTTTTAAATTTAACATTTAGGGCCTGATCTTACTTGTAGTGCAGTTGCCTGTGGAACTCACATTGGGAACAAGCTCAAATATTTAGGAGAACAGTTATTATATAAGGTTTTTATATTATTTGAGAGATTGAGAAGGGGGTTGGGAGAAAGAAGTGGTGCAACTGGGTATTTTTTTGCACAGTAATTCTTAAGCCAGTGCAAACTGAAATTCAAGCACTGATTTTGATTTTGCTCCCTGAAATGAAAAGCACATTCAGCATGTTTATAAGGAACACTGGGTAAATTAGAGGCTGTATTATGCTTTTTGCTAAATGTGCATTATCTTAGCAATAACTGATGTGCCTGTGATTTACCTGAAAGGCCAGAAAAACAACTTGAAAGTATTTGATTATATTACAAATCAGAAAACCCAGACAGAATAATTTCTAAGGTAAATTTTCATGTCATAGAAGTTTTATTTGCATTAATGCAGTTATAGATAAAAATATCAGTAAGCTAGTTTGGTAGTTCCTGGGGTTTGGTTTTGTGCTGTTAGTAGGTTTTCAAATTTAACTGTTATTAATTTTGCAGATTTCAGGCTGTTGTGATTAAAAACAATAGGTCTTTTTGCCCATTTTATAAACACAAGCTCCTTACTAAGGTTCACAAATATTAAGAAAAAATAACAAAACAAAAAACCCCAATCATGATAGAGATTAAACAATTGACAGTAACAAAAAAAAAGTATCAATAGAATGATACCTTTCTATTAAGAAGCAGAAAATAAAAATTCTTACTATTTAGTTGCTTTGAGTTATGATGAAAGTTTCAAGATCCCCGATGTAAAAGATAAAGCAATTAATTTTCTTCTTTTCTAATTAATATTTTGACATTGTATAGTTCTGTTTTTAGTAGCTTCCATTGGGATTATTTTTACTGCTCTATATTTACTCTGTTATTTTAGTATTTGCAGTAACATCTGCTAACATTTGCAATTCACAGCAATTTTCTTATAAGAAACAATATTTTTCTGCTGATCTGACAGCAGGAGCTGCAGTTTGGATTCCAAAATGGTTTCTACTGATAGCCCTTCTTTTGCAGATTCAGTGCTATCTCCTGGATATAGAAGCTTCTTAGCCCAGGGTTGAGGTTTTTTTGGAAATAAAGGATATAATGAGCAAGGTTATAGAGTAATTATTGGAAAAAAAAATACTCTTAACTAGGGGGGAAACAGGAGAAAGATGATGTGACTTCACTTTGTTTGTGAAAAATGGAAGTACAAGGTAATCTTTTAGATTAAATAATTGAGCAATTTGCTAGAGAGTTGCTCCTCTGGAGGGTTGTGAATTTTGAATTTATTAGCTGCCTAAACACATCAATTATTTCTTTTTTTGTAAACTTTGTTTTGGCCTGTGTTGCAGGTTGACATCTTGCACATTGAGGAGGAAATAGAACTAAACAAGAACTGCCAAGTTTAAACAACTGTGAATGAGTGTGTCCTTTAGAAAAACATTTTCCATAACAGGAGGCTGACAGTTTGATACCTTAGAAATGACTGGACAAAACCTTATTTGAGAAATGTATTACAGTTTAGTTATTCAAAACATGCAGTTATGAAATTGCTCATAATTATTCTGTAGTGGCTGAAACAAATACCTTTTTGAATTTTTAATGCAACTTGGGCCTTGTCCTTGGGCAGTTAAGATGTCTCATGTTTGACAGTCTTGTTTCTGCAATTTCTTTAATGAACTCTGATTATATCAATGAAGTTGACCATTTCACAGATATTAAAAGTGTTGCTTGCCCAGTCCATCAAGGATTCCATTATTATAGAACTTCTCATATTGCAGTAGGAATTATCTTTTATTTCTGAGTAAGTCCTTGCACTCTGGCACTTCACAATACCTTACAATTAGAGGTAGGCCTTGTTAAATTTGTGCACTTGAGATGAGATTGAAGAACTAGCAGCTGACCAAGTCTAGGGTGGACACCAAGCACTGATTGAGCTGTTCTCCTTGACCTTGATCTAACCTCTGTTTGCAAGTGATTACTGACACAAGGTTCATAATCTCCTTTAGAGCACTGTTAGGATGGCACCTGCCATCCTCTGCTATGTCCCAGGCTTCCCTGACATGTTTCCAGAAGCTGGGATCTTGGCTATGCCTCAGCCAAGTTTCTCAAAGCTTGGCTGCTCTTTACTTTCACAACTTCAATGTCTTGCAATATTTTATTCTTGTCATCTGCCTTGAAAATACTTCACATCTCCCAGGTGTTCATGTTCAAAAGGTGCTGCCTGACTCAGTCATAGGCTTTCCTGGCTGGAATAAATACATCTTTCTTCTACCATAAATACATCTTTCTTCTACCATAAATACATCATTCTTCTACAACAGCTTAGGACACCTTGAGGGAAAGAGGTAGTA